ACACCAGAGTATGGGATATAAGAGACACACCATGACATTACATTCGGTCACCTTGAAATCAAGCAACCACTGTGATTGATAACGTCGGCAGATGGCTTGAATTACCCCGTGGAGTGTAGAAAAATGTAGTGTGACCTCTGCTTTTGAACATGCTGTGGTGAACCGTGTATTTTGAAATGTATTGCCCTGAAGCAAGTGGGAGCAGGGAGAGAAAATAGGCAAGGTCAAGGATTATTAAAGAAATAAAAATCATCTGTATCACTGAGTGGGCTGAAGAAATTATGATGCCTCTTTGATGCTCCACACATCTCTCGGACTGACTGAAGGTTTTTGATAAGCTATCATAACGTCAGCAGCATTTCAAATACAGCCACCTTTCAGACTCCCACAGCTTTGATGCGCACTCGTGTAAGTTCAAAGTTATTGAAATTACAAGCTTGAAATACTCGACAATTATATCACAGCTTAAACAAACCTCCACTTTCAAAAACGGTCGCTGAATTAAAGGAATTAAAATGTCCAATGCTAAAAGCAAATTACCATAATTACAAAGATTGAATAGGGAAAAGTCTCTCTGTCCACGCTCGCAGACTCATAGAAAGAGAGAGACAGAGAACATTGGAGGCTATAGATGGATTTCTAAGCATTACAGTGAACTGTTTACAACTCAATTTACACAACATGAATAACTTGTTTTACTGATGATCAGCTAGGTTATTGTAAAATGTGCGTATTTGATTGATATTTTCTTTTGGGCCTATACCTCTATGAACGATTAGAGCCCATTCACAATACTGAGTCCACGACTGTGAAATATTCTGTGATTGGGGTTTTAGCTGGGCAAACCGCCTACAGACACTACCGTAGGTTACTGTGTTACTGCATAACAATACGAAATGGCTGGCAGTTTGCTGAGGTTAGCGAAAGTGAGCTATTTGCACACTCTTGGTGCTAAGGGAGGCTGATGAAAGGCAAGGCAAATATCATTATCATATATTAAAAGATCATGGAGGTCTCGTTTAAAAAATAAAAAAGCAATTTTACGTTAAAAAACATGAATACGTAACAATATACCGTACATAGCAATAACATTACACTTAGATTCTTGCACTTAGCTTCATCAGAGGTTATTTTAGACTCAGAAATATTTCACCATTATGACTTACCTAATGCTGCTGAATTCTGGTTTCACATCTGAATCTGAATCTGATCCATACTGAGAAAACGTTATCTCAGTGTCATTTTCAGCCAACAAAAAAATCAGCAAAAGACCTCAACAGAATCTCTGTCATTTTTTTATAATATATAAAGAACATCAAAATACTGAGCTCCATTAATGCATGGATTTGGAGATCAGGTCATCTAAGGGGAGAAAAAGAGATGAATATGCTCCTTTTATTATATCTTAAAATCGAACACAATGGTCACCTTCACTGGAGTTTAGAAGGACATTTAGACCAAAGTCTGAAACTATCAGAGAAGATAAACTGAAATATACTCTTTTGGATAAAGTGAAGAGAGCAGTAAACCTGACTACACAGGCTCTAAAGCCATTCATAAGCGACCCTCTTATTCAATACAAATCCATCTTATTTCTAAAATCCACCTATCTTCTGTAAAGATCTGTTGCTAATTAGTGGTGGCTTGATTCACATGTTATTTAACACATTGACAGATGAGAGCATTCTTTGAAAATGTAAAATACTGTATGGCTTTTGCTTGTATGGCTACATGCTCTAATTACATACATGAGCCTGGAAATTAATGAGTGTAACAGTTTGCTTTTGGCCTTAGGGTTACATTTGGGAAAGTCTTGAAAACACAAGTTTGCCACAACTCTGATTTCTCACAGAGCTGACATAAGTTAATATTCATAAATGTAAAATACCCTGGTATGGATACATATTTTATGTCCACCTTCATAACCTTCATTATTCCACTTGCCTGGGGTTACCCCAATCCTATAATCTTATATTTGCATTCAGATTTGCACTTATTTGGACTTTTTGTTTTTACTGCTGTTATGCTGGGCCATATGGAGGAACTAACAAAATGTGATGTTGGATAAATAATCAATGTGGACATTATGCCTGAGTGGGTGAAGGCGAATAATAAACTGCTAGAACAGTCTTCTAAATTTAGAAAAAAACATCACTTTACTGCAATGCAGCCTTTAAAACCAGCAAAAGAGACCTATGCCATATCTCAATATCAAAGATTTAAGATAGTATCTAGTCTCATATCACATATATATATATATAAATATACATATAGTGTTTATAATACAAACACTCTAAACTACAGTCAATTAAGTTTTGCAATATATCGATATTATATCAACTTTATCTAATATCGGTATATTGAACATCCTTTAGATATATTGGTGTTTCCTTCATTCATGTCATTATAAAAACACTATCTTGTATACTTGGTCAGATCGTATACCTTTAAGCATTTTTTAGTCGTTTATTTTTTTAATTAATTTTTTTATTTCATTATAGTGTGTACAGTAATCAATGCCACTTCATTTATATTGTAATACCACAGTACACTCTTTTCAGTCGTTTCTGACATTTTATAGACAAACGCACTAACCAATTAATTTACAATTGGAAAATTATTTCATAATGAAAATAATCGTTAATTGCAGCTCTACATCCCCTGTCTAGACTGACAGTTTCAATTGAAGAGTTATTATTAGGCAAATGCATTTGTTACTCATTAAATATGTATCTCAAGGCAACAGGAAGTTATATATTGATGGAAATATGTGAGAAACAACAGTAAGAATCACATGAGATATGAGTGTACAGTAAAGGGCAGTATACCTCTCAGGCAGACTCGCAGCACAGTGGCAGGGTGACTAATGACCTGCAGTGCTCTCAATTATTACCGCTGGCACACACACACTCACGCAATATGATTCATTCTGGTTCAAACTAAAGAGAAGCATGACTCAGGCAGCTACACCAATATTTCCATCTCAATTTCCCAAGACCCAGAGAGTCTTGGTCTAAATGAGGACATCAGCACTCTAGGAAATAGGTCTGTCCGACAGAAAACCCACCTCTGCGCCGCGAAAATTAGCTTCCTGCCCTGCCGCAATCAATGGGAAAGTGGGTCTCGTTAATATATTGGGTCACTTCCCTCATCTCACCTCAATCTTGCATCATTCAGAGGCTATTTCCTTTTGAATCGCTTTAACGTCATATTCATGAAGGGGTTCCTGTAAGGTCAGATGCTGATGTACTGAATTTACTTAAGATGTCAAGAAGTCAGCATCAACATAAGATCTTCCACAAGAGTGTCTCCAAGGAGATTATCCTGTTATTGCGATAATATTTCACCTTTCTGTCGGTTGTAAGCTATATTAATTAAGCTATACAAAGCTATATTGCCTATTTGGCATCTATATGCTTGATATCTTGGATTGTAGTGATAATGATCAAGCTATTTAACCCAGGGAATTGTCCTACGTTGACACTTTTTTACCACTCTTGCCACATTTGTAATCATTGAAGGATTGTCTGTATGCAGAGCTGTCTCCTCACAAAGCAGCCTTATTCATCTTTCACACACATCATTTTGTGCATCCCGAACTCTAAGGGAAAGTAATAATTTTTGTACAACGTTGAGTCATTTAAGACTGATGGCCACTCAGTTTATGTGGAAATGATCACAGCAAGTGGTTTAAAATCAGGTCCTAATTACAAATATTGGACAAATGAATAGTAATAGGCTGGCAGCAGGCTGGCAGTGTTGTATCAGCGCTGCCAGAGACTGCCTCTGAGCTCCAGCTCAGTCTGGGCCCTCGCAGACAGCCTGCCTGCAGAATCAGCCTGCAGCCCCAGGAGAGCCTTCCATCCTGCTGCGTCTGCTCTTCTCCCGCCTCACACACATCCATCCTGCCTGGTCGGCCTGTCAAACCCTGCGCCTTCCTCCCCCCTCCCCCCTTCTCCTCTTCCTCCTCTCTTCCTCCGCTCCACTGGGCTTGTGAAGGTGAGCCAGTCCCCAGTGGCACTACTGTACAGATTGCAATGCTTCCTCTTCAAATGGAGGCGTCTCTCCTGTGAATACCCTTGTAAAGAGTGGCTGGGCTGCTCCTCTTCTTTCTCTTCCTCCGCTCACTGTTTGGTTATTTTTGTCTTTTTTTATCTCTGGACATCTGAATTATTTAACTCAATCTTGCTCTCAGGTCACCTCTCCTTGACCGTGACTCGGGGAGAGACAGGCTGCTCCGTGTCTCTCTTAAGAGGAAGGCTTACTAAAAAAAGCTTGACGCTTGAAGTTGCAGGCCAGTTTGGTGACAAATGTCACCCATTGGCCTGCTCTTAAAAGCGCTTTTATGAGCTGGGTGTGTGACGGATGCTTCAGTCTTGCTTTGAAGTGACACTGCCTCTAATGTATGCATCTAGTCATGTTTTCTAGTGTCTAGCTGCTGTTGTGTTATGGATTATTTTCTGTTGGTGTGTGTATACAAATGTGTCTCTGACATGTTCTCCTGCAAAGGGCTTAAGACTCTTCATCCCATTTCCAGGTTAGCATCAGTTCATCCAGGTTGTGTTGGAATAGAGAGCTTTTTCTTTTATTTATCCCATAGCTAAAACATGATTATGGGCTCTGTTCAAATCCCAAAACATCTTAGACTGCACTGGCTAGTGAACATTTAACAGCTCATTGAAGTAATGATACAAGACCCATTGGGTTACTATCAACAGCTACAGTTCTCTCATGCGGCTTTTACAGCACTTCAGTGGTTAAGACTCTTGCAATGTGCTGCGAGTGGAAATATTATAATGGTTTCTGCTGGCCTGTTCGGTAATAGATACTCATTTAGCTTTTAATATATAGACAGAAAATGCCAGACTCCAATGTTCAATGGACATGTTTTCAGCTCTTTCCTAAATTAACGCTGTCTGCACATTTGCCTTTGTGAGTGTTATCTAGCCATCCAGATGCTGCAGGTGAACTCATTACCTTTTCCTTCTCTGTTTGTGCAGGTTTTTGGAGATTATTATCACTTCAGGCATCATGCCGTGGAGAAGAGAGCTGTGTCTGGCCACTCGGGGATGCACATCAGACTGCAGAAAGAACCACAGGTAAGACTGTTGTCAGCTCTCTCACGGCTCATTGCAGCACTACGTTAGCAACAAAGGGCCAAAAGACAGATTTGATTACAAACTCAGAGTGTGTATATCACAAGAAAAAAGGATGCCAGCGTCAATGACAGCTTGTCAAACTCTATGTTCTGTTCAGTCCATGCGGTCCTTCCATCTGTCCCCATGACCCAATCTGAGGTACCAACTAGCTGTAAATATGCAAATAAAGCCACAAAAACAACACAACAGCTGGGAGTCGTTTTGTGTTTCTGGCTTTTCTTTTTTGTTTTGTTTTGTGAAATCATTATTTGCATCTAAATGTTAACTAGAGGGAAAAATTGGCAGTCATCAGTCTAAACATCCAGAAACAAGAACATTTACCTTGCTTGAATGATTTTCAGATTTTGACATCTGGTCCTATTCGCACACAGCCCAGCAGCTAACAATCCATACCTTGCATACAGTGGTATAACTCGTCTCATACCATAATAGTTGAGTCAGCATGAAAAAGCCAACATGGTGAAAGGAAGTTGTTTTTTTCTTACATGGGATTGAGAGAGTACCGGACCAGTATATCAATTCCATACTGTGTTTGTACTGTTCCTACGCAGGATAAATCACAAGCAGTGTCCACTTGTATTCTATTGCAAGGTTGTCGGGTTCTTTTATGTATTGATTTTATATAGACAGAGAGAATATTCTCATAGACAGAGAACGCCAGAAGAGAGAAGAGTAGGAGGCCAGAGGGCTCTTGTTCTGTCCTGTTTTTAAATCAACCTTTTCATACATTCTTTAAATACTAAATGTAATGCACTGGCTGAAAACAATTGTGTTGGTTCATTTAGAAAGCATTATTTACACTGATAACACTTACATTTCACACATTACTCTTAAGTCCTGTAACTGAACACACTACCTAACAGACTTTATATCAAAGCACCTCACACTACAGAAAAACACTACCATCTTTTTGATTTTATGTACAAGCTAAAAACATTCCTTGTGCATAAAAATGCTAATTAGATGTGAAATATATAAATTATTACATTTCTGTGATGTGAAGGCAACAGGGCATATGCTACTATAATAAAATGTGTAATAATAGTCACTATCAGAATCTCGCCTTATATATTATCCAATAACACAGAAGAAATTTTATAAAAACAAAGCAAATAAGTTTTTCAGATTCACTACTTCTTCAGATTGTGTGTGGGGTCAACAGCTGAGATGAATATAGTACATTCCTACAGTCTAAGAATGTCATAACCTTTATCAAGCTGTGTTGGTGGCTGCTTTTATTCAACACCGAGCGGTTGAGGGAGGAGATGTTGTTTGGGGCTAAATGCCACACAGGTCCCATTAAAAAATAGTGACAGTCCACAAACCTCGCTGTGAATGGATTTACGATTCCAGACATTTTGGTTGACAGCGAGAATGTTGGAAAATATTATTTGTTTCTAATATATAATGATCTTTTGCCTCGAGTACCACACACAAAATGCCCTTCACCTTGGCTGCGAGTGGAATATCATAATAATAACCATAATAATAATAATAATAGATTTATTTTGTAAGCGCTTTTACAGGTGCTCAAAGTCGCTTTACAGAGATAGTGAAAAGAAAAGAACAACAAATAAATATAGCTGAAGTCAAATTTAAAATCAAGCAATATAACAACAATCACACATTAAAAGCCAGATTGAAGAGGTGAGTTTTTTGAAGCTGGTGAGGAATATCAGTGGCAAATACAGAACCCTAGGAAAAAAAAAAGAGTGCTGATCCCAGGCATATGAATGCACTTGATAGAATAACCTGTATGAGTAACTGTCATTCATGTTGCCATCATCCTGAGAGTGATAGTGATCTCAATGCACTTATATAGTTTATATATATATTGCAAACCCAGGAGCCTGTAAAGCACTTAGATGTGACATTCTGTGTTTTATGACTCTAGCACGGTACATATCAGCAATGATTTTCAGACACAGAGAGAGATTGTGCTAATAGATAGCAGAAAGCAAAAGCATTAGCAATATTTTCTCTCCGTCACTGTTTTTGCCGATATTGTCAGGTTATCTCTTGATAAGTCTCACTCTTAACCTTTGATTGGCCAAATACTCCCTTCACAGTCACATTTTCTACAGTTTGGAAACAGAGCCAAAAGGGGATGCAGAAGTCTAGTGTTCTCTCGGACTACTTGAACATGACAAATAAAACCAAAGAGATACTAGCTACCAAAGCTTTTAACCTCAATAAATAATGTTGATAGGGTTGACACATCACTATTTTAAATGGTGAAAGCTTCACTTAAATTGACGCCTGTACATTAATGAGATTTGCAATTGATGTCATAGAAAAGTTGAATAGCTGTCAACCCAGACAGCAGCAGCTAATAACTACAGGTACATGTGCACAGGAGTACAGTAGAACAGCTTTTTTTCAGTGCTGCTGACCACTGACTGAGCAACACACTGCTGTCATGTTTACATTGAAAACATCTAGACACAGCAGTGGAAAATGCTTAAAATCTTAAAATCTAAAGCTATAAGTTACACAGTGATAACAATCTAGGGCCATCTATAGTAAGGTAGATGTAAAAAAGATCAGTAAGAGAACTCGTTTCCAAAGCCCATGTCAAGCTGTTGGAGGAGAAGACTGATGTGGTCTGACAAGTGCTGAAGCCCCGAGACATCATTATTGAGATACGGTGACATTCAGTGAGGCCAGTGTTGTAGGGGGTCAGGCTAAGGCAATGTGAACACGCCTCTGACAGCCTATGGGTTCAAAGGTGTCTGCCTGAGAGCTAGGAGAGTACTATAGCATTCAAATGGTCAAAAGAATGTCTTTGAAATGTTCAAATTCCGCTACTAATTAGTTGTATTGGTCAGTCAAAGAGGCAAGCATTTTTGTACTTTTACCATGGATTTAATTACATACTATACTGGAATTTAGAGCTGTACACATTGGTGAGGGCTAAAAAATGAATTGTAGGCAGAACTGCAGGATTTATAAGAAACGGTCAATCCCAAATGGATGTCATCTTTAATAAGAGGCTCGCAAAGAGTATAATTAATCTGGATGATGGAATGTGAGTTTAACTGTGTGGCTAAAATGCCTTGATATATTCCCATTTGGCGATTCCACTTGGGAGAGAAAGCTTCTTTTATTTAAACGTTGAGCCCTCACATTAGAGCCGGGGAGATAAAGAGATTCCGTCTCATAGGTTGGTCTCTGTCAGTGGTTCAAGTTAGAAAAATACTTTAACCACCCGCTATTTAGGGCTTGATGTTTCTGGTTAAGGAGCAACAGTTTGTCCTTAGGTTACTTACCCACCCACACAACCAGAAACCAACCAAACCTCAGGCAAATCGTGACCACTGCCAAAAAACACAGCAGCATAAGTGAGTGGGTTTTGGTTTACATGAGTTTATCTACGCACGTTAGTATATTCATATTTGTGTGTGACATCTGAACCATAGCAAAAAGAAAACCAAGGGTTCCGCCTCACCTGGTTCAAAGCAAACATATTTAAAAGGCATGGAATACATAATGGTGGGGTTGAGATTAGTCAAACTCTGGGTTTGTTACAGTGTTTCCTCTCAGTAATCCAGCTGCTGTCTCTCACATTAGCTCCTTTGTCTCGTTTCCTCTGCTCCGTGGTGCTAACATGTTGCTTATCACCATCCCCTTTGAATAATCACACAGTGACGAGATGACATTGGCAGCTGCATAAGCTTTTACTATTACGCTTGCAAAGGGCTGTTTGTCATTTTCTCTCCACACCCTGCACTTTGTCCATGAAGGAAAAAAATCTATTTGCATTGAGGTGGCTGCTGTTGGTTTGGTCAAACGCAGTGTTAGACAGGATACTGCGAGCTGTGTTTCTGAGGGACGTTAAAATACATCTATCCATCTCTCTTTGGCTGTAAGAGTGTACGTTATGTGCCCTTTACTGAGCCTTACTGTAAAAGAAATCAAGCATGTGGTATTTCATATTCTTTATTTCCTCAACCATTGTCTCATTCCAAGCTGGTCTGTGGCTGTCATTGTGAAACCCACTGGTCCCTACTCAGGATGTAAATGTATCAGTATGAGTCACAGGAGGGAATGAAATTAATAATTATACATAGTGTTTGTTGGCGTTAAATCATCATAGGCGGTCCATCTTTCTCAGATCGTTTAATTTGAATATGTTAAGAAGGCTGGAGCTTTACAATTATCCTGTTATTCATAGGATTTTTTTTAAATGGTTAAGGAAAGTACAGGCTGTAACTGATCAATATTTTCATTCTCAATGAATCTGTTGACTATTTTCTCAATTAGTAATTAAATGTCAGAAAATAATAGAAAATGTCTATCACAGACTCTCAAAGTCCAAAGTTATGATTTAAATGTCTTGTTCTGTCTGTTTTAAACCCAAATATATTCAGTTTAATATAATATAAAACAGTTAAAAGATTTTCAATAATATTTGGAGACACAGGGAGGAAAAAGCTACATCAGGCTTAGGACCTACTCTCGGGTGAATTTATTGTTGTTTTTCTGGCTTTCCACAGGGTTTATTGATAATAACAAAAGAAGATTGAAATACTGTACACCAGACTTGTCCTTTGAAAGGTTTTATCTTTCTCCATAAACTGTGGAAACAGATTTATATATCAAAGCTCAGGTTGTCTCTCCGTCTGTCTCTCGGCATTACAAACAGTCCAGCTTGACTTCTCCTTCGTCATCAGACAGAGGAGCCCTCAGGACGTTGTACGAGAGATGGAACAAATCGTTTTTTTCTCGGGTGGATCGCAGACCTGAGCCACGTTTAGACCGTGATTGCTTCTTTGTGGGGTTTTGTTGGGCTACTCTTTGTCCTTGTCCTTCACCTCAGGGTGGTGTTTTCTTCTAGACCGCTGTATTTTCATTAGTTCTCCATCACTGGCTCTTATGAAAGACATTGATTAGACCTTGTTTTTCTCCATAAGAGTGGATTTTCACACATGCGATCACAAAATATTCAACAATTAACCCTAAAAATAAGATTTCATGACATTGTTTCTACTACCCTGAATGACAGTAATATAATAAGATGTGAGTTGAATGTGTAAAAAGTTTCATCATTTGCATGAATGGGCTTTATAAATGAGAAGCTATATTTCCCACAGTATCCAGCCCATCATCTCATGCATTTATGGGTTGCAAATTTGCTGCAATAATAATGTGGTGTGCAGTTATAAATGTGATGTAATGAGATCATTGTTCATTAGTCCTGGGTCACTTGAGTAAGGTTAATGGCTTCATTCTCTGAGTCAAAGTTTTCAACTAGGTTATGAGCAGTATCACCCTCGGTAGCTGCACCGAGCCGGTTCTCATTCAGACCACGTGCTTTCTGCTGTGAGAGCATGAAATCATGAAATCAAACGAGTGGAGAAGAATCACTACTCAAATCAACTCTGACGGCAACAAGCAAAGAGGGGAAAAACTTTCTATACTTGAGCAACAAGTTGGACTTTCAGTATCTACCTGGTATTGTACAGGAGATTCACAAGTTTAGACACGCTTCACTTGAGTGCTTTTGACACAGAAGTAGAATGAGTTTAGGCTTTGTCACCTTCAGCAAAAACTCAGCATAGGAGGCATTTATCTCTGACAATAATAATGCAAAACAGCTTTTGCTAAAACTGCTTCGGAAGATAAGTGTCTCTTCTATGGTGTCTATGTAAATTCCCTCTGCTGCAGAAATAGCAGTCCAATTTTAAAAAATATGGTTTGAATTTGTTGCTCCTTAATGTTCAACTCATAGCTGAAACATTTTTGTAGCGCCACAGGTCTTTCCACCTACATCCACTTCTCTTCATGGTAAACAAGGCTCTTCATAGATACTTCTCATTGTTTGGATCTCTGTCATACTCAATTCATTTTTGTAAGACAGTTTTTGCATGGAAATAGGAGTATTTTTGTACACTGTTTTTTAAGAAGTGTTACTTAATATGATTTTATCTCACAGCTTGCGTATCAAATGTGGCAATTCAGTTTTTTTTGGCTGTCTGGAAGAAATCTGAACCCATATGAAAGTCTATTGGTGTCTTTAATCATTCTTACAGCTGACAATAATGCACACAAAGTCAAACACCTGTCAAAATATATACATAAAAGCACGGAAGAAGACGTTAGACAGACATTAAATATTTCACTATTGCGTATTGGCAAGGATGTTTGGAACAGTTTTTTGCTGTTATCAAATGATATACTATTTGTTGTTTGACATTTAGTGTCACCCCCCCATACCAGTCCTCTGCAAAGCCCAGCAGCTTCCAGGACTTCAAAGGCCCCTTCTCCGGCTCACTGTACGGCAGCCACTTTCCCTCAGCATCAGGGAAGGAAATAAATTAGATTTGCTTCACATCTCTGCCTCTAGTCTGGTTATTGCTATTGGAACACAGCTGGGGCCATGTTTTTTCACCGTCGGTGGGACATTGCAACACTTTCTGAAATGAGAACATTAGTAATGACACAATAGCAATAGAAGATAATTATGTTAACTATGAATTTTCTCTGTGTCTGTACACCCCAGGTCCTGTGGGCAGAGCAGCAAGTGGTGAAAAAAAGGAAGAAGAGGGATATCTATGAAGACCCAACAGACCCCGATTTCCCCAAGCAGTGGTACCTGGTGTGTGATGGTCTCTTATCTTTATAGCCTAGTCCTAATTAGTCTGTCATTAAAGCAAAATGTCAACCCTTCAGTATGTGTTTTATTTCTCAAATGGCAAACATAGTGTTTTTTGCTGTATAATTTAAGAGCTGCAATACATCAGTCAGTAGACTGTCTATTGGTTTTTCATGTTTTTGTATTTCATTTGGAGTGCCTTTTAAGCTTTTGAGGCGAGGGAGATGCTTCTCTGCATTCAGATTTGCTCATAGAAAGGTGTTGTCCTGAAACATTACAGCTCTGCAATTATTTCTAATTAAACCTTGAAGGTCTCCTTTTTCAGTCCTGTCTGAACACCACTCAATAGTTTCCACTCTGCAGAAGCTTGTGAGGGCACCTAAATTAAGATGTATTCATTATCGCAGCAGCAGAAGTTATTCATTCCCTCATGGTCACTCTGATGAGCATAAATTGAATTGCTGTCTTTTGTACTAACCCTGCAGCCTTTAGGTGTAGCTGCTTCACCACCAACATTTGGTTTCCACAGTCACGGATATAATGCAATGCATCCCAGAATGCTGGGTTGAAAAGAAAATTAAATGTCAGCACCAAACTAAACTGTATCACCTGTGAAACATTGATAGCAAATGGTCTTGGCAATGTGTCTGTTTCAGAATGCACAGCTTTTCCTCTGAGATGCTTCAATTTGCCCTAGTCTGCTCTTTTCTTTTTCTGTATGCACAAAAACCTCCGTCCCTGCAACGGATTAATGACAACATTGACTATCCCAGACATAAATCTCCAGGCGAATAGAAGTTGTGAAACCACCTCTGCCATTCAGCATTATACCTCTAATCGTCTCAGGGCGGAAACCCTTTCTTTTCCTAAATAAAATATTCCACGCAGCTTTGATTTTAAAACCAAACAAAGATGCTTTGGCTTAATCCATAAGCCACCAATGCTGAAATGTTGACTTGGATGTAGGACCAATATTTTCTTATCAAAGGCTTGTATATTGGTTTATTCTGGTACATGGGCTTCATCAGTTTCTAGCAAACATTTATTTAAGATCTGTATTGAATGGTGTGTGTGTGTGTGTGTGTGTGTGTGTGTGTGTGTGTGTGTGTGTGTGTGTGTGTGTGTGTGTGTGTGTGTGTGTGTGTGTGTGTGTGTGTGTGTGTGTGTGTGTGTGTGTGTGTGTGTGTGTGTGTGTGTGTGTGTGTGCCAGTTCAAAGCCCACTTCCAAGAATTTAAGCTACTTACCTAAGCAGCCAGGCATCCTCTGAGAAGTGCAGATGCAGGAGTTGTGCCCTGTGGAGAGAAATCAGCAGGAAACAGAAAAGCGGCAGAGAATGTTGTCTGTGATGTCTTTTCCTTTTCTACTGGTGTTTATCTTTAACCATCTCTTTCACCTCCGGCGCTCACTGCTCTTTATACTTCTCACTGTGCCAAATATCTCATCCAAATCAAGCTATACCACTCTGTATCTCCCTATTTATCTGCCTCCCTTCCCCCTATTTCTTCAGTGAGAGTGGGAAATGCTCTCACCGATTTCTGACCTGCAACAGGTTTTCAGTTTTTTTTTTTCTGACAGCGTAACTACAGCGTGTAGCTCACACTGTGCAGCTCTGCCCGAGGAGGCAGACATGTCGGGGTGATGCATTAAAATTGGATTATAAGTGTCCATGAACCACCTCTGATCTTTCTTCCCTTTTATGTCTTTGTGGTTTTCCTTTATTGAGCATTTCTGTTTTTATCATAAGATTGTGTAGCGAGTAAATCGACTCTGCAGATTGATTCTCACACACACACATTATACACTAGTCCTTTAATGCCGGTTTGTCTTGGAAGTGTCCGTCACAGCAGATTGACAGCTGAACAAAAGCCTTGTGTCTCTTCCAGACCACCCCGTCACATCAAGACCTGAATACCAAAATAGCCTGGGCCCAAGGCTACACAGGGAAAGGTGTTGTGGTGACAATCCTGGACGATGGAATTGAAAAGGACCACCCAGACCTCATCAGCAATTACGTAAGTCAAAAATACAAAGAGGTATGACAAAGCCTCCCACGGCCCACTTACAGAACATTTCTGAGGAAAATGGATCAAAGTTAATTGCATGGAGTTAAAATTGGCGTGAATGATGCCCTAACCGTTTTCTGGTTTCTCTTAGGACCCTGAGGCCAGCTACGATGTTAATGATGGAGATGCTGATCCCCAACCAAGATACACGCAGCGAAATGAGAACAGGTAATTTGGAAAAAGCAGCAAAACTGGCAACATCACTACTAGGAATAAATCTTTACTGCCTCAAAATTCAATCTTTAGAAAATTGGCACACATGAGCAGACATTTTTAATTTCCTTGTGAAAGTGGCAAGCACACCAATAAACTGAGAAATAAAATGTAAAAATAAAATACATAAAACAATTTTTTTACTGAATAACCCCTGTCCAAGTGTAAGTTGACAGCAAAAGACAGTGTTGAGAAGGCACCAAGTCTATAATGCTTTTGGTTCAGTGCTTTTGGCCAAAGCATTAACATTTAGAAACCAATTATATAAAGTTTGAAGGCACTGGTGCAGTCATTCTGCAAAGTCTTGAAAGATTGTTCCCTTTTTTCTCCATCCTTGCTTCAGTAAACACGCCAAGCTGCTGCAGCTGCATTTCAACATCCAGCCCCACAGCCACTTATTTGTTGCTAATACAATCCTTGTTTACTTGCCCTCAGTGATTCATGCCATTCCCCTCCAGTCTTTGGTCGCATTAAAACACGTCCTCCTCCCTTCTCCCATGTTTCTCCAACACCACGGTCTTCTGCCTGAGCCCAATCCCCCTGGAGCAGATGAGAAGCTTCATCCTGCTTCTGAAATAGCACAGCAGGATTTGTCTCAAATCTCTCCCTTTTTCTGGGACGACTGCCACCAAGTCTTTTTGTAGTTGTTTGTTTTTGTTCTTTATTTTGGGTTTCAAAGCGCAGTTGGTCAGAGGGAGAAGAGAAATCAGCTTAGCAAGTTTTCGTGAGATTGTAGAGACTTTCGTATGAGAATATAGATTCTGCGCAGAGGTTCTGATTCGAACTTTGGCATCCATCTATCTCTCTTTGTTTTTTGTTGTTGTCCTTATCTGAAATATGATCTATTTATCTACAGTATGTATTCATCTTGAAAGAGGCTGGCATCAGCAGTTTTCTTGTCCTTGCCAGCAGCTAGAGCAGCCACGCAGAGCGACCCCAAGCCCTCTGTCAGAGCAAAGTAGATCCCACTCTGTCCTGCTGATGGAACAAAGCTCTACTGGAGAGGATTACTCCCTGCCTCTGGTTCACTTCTACTCCCAATCTGCACCATGCTATTACTTCAGGTTCAGAAAGACACACAACAATACAAGCACACAGGGCGCAAATATTTGGACTTGCACACTCTGCACTACCCATGTCGATGGAACTGCCACAGCGATTACCTCTGACTGGATCAATTTACAGGCATAGGAAATGAAAAGCAAGGGTGTGTCTATGTGTTTACGGCGATGTTTAGAGTGACCTGTGGGCAAGTTATATCCAATGAGTTATGTAAATCAGCAGCAAGTAATACGGTGCGACAGTGAGTAATGCACACAACCCCCTCACAATGAGATGATATGAATATATTCATAGGACAACTAAAAGCAAAGGAGAGTCGGAAGAGGGTATTTTCCACAGCCATGAAGGCCAGTTCATTTGTACTGATGACACGCAAGGCTGATTTTTAAATTCCCGCCTCTGGGTTCCTCCTTAGAGGCTCTGTAGTGTTGACTTGGCAGATCTGGCCGATTTTGTTGAAGGCTGTGCAGGCCATGTTGAAGGATGCTTGAAGTCTTGCCAAGCAGGTAATCCGCTTGCGCTGTATCATGTCAATGTTTTTCATTTTTTTCTCGATTTCTTTCTCCATTCCTCCACATTATGTCGGTGGGATTTGGGCGTAGAGGGTCGGTCTAATGGCAGAGGCAAACAGGAATGATTCCGCCTCCTGCCCGCAGCCTGTCATTAAACCTGAATGCTATCATTTTCTAAAAACCTCAACCGTAATCATTATCCAGCTTTATCATCATAATAAAACTTTTTTTTTTTTCCATATCTATTATTTATGAGGTTTAATGTCGACCATTTTGTTCCTTTTCAAGACCACAGGATTAGTTAACTAAGATTTATAAACATGAAATGAATATTAAATTATCACCCAGTCTGTAGGGATACACATTATTCTTCAGAAAGTATTCATCCTGTATCAATTTGTCTTAATTAAATAAATACGTTACAATCTCGTCACAATCTAAACAATACACAATCCCTAAACAGTTATTCAATTTCCAAATCTTTAAAAAAAAAGGTTTTGAGTGCTTTAGTCAAGTAACACTGAATGATATTCACTGTCCTGACACCTCTGGGGTCCTGACTGGGTAAAACAGATCATTAAATGAAAGATGATAAAGATCATAATCTTGCCCTGCTAAGCCTAACTGCTTACTGATCCCATATATCAGAACTTATTAATTCAGCATACAAACTGCACACCACTGGAGATCTTTGCGGGGTGAGGTTTTTGCTGTGGTGATTACATTTCACCTTCCAGGTTGTAAACTGTCTCCATCTCTCCTCTAACTTGCCTGTGGAGAGCTGTTAGCATCTGTAGGGAACTTTTCACAGGGGTCCATTAATTGAGATCCACTTGCCTGCACCCTAAGATTGTGCAGTGGCAGCCTTTATTGAAAAATGATTGGCATGCAGCACAGCCTTGTGTGCTTTCAGTCCAAACCAACCCGTCAGCCCCCTGGATACTAAAGTGACTCGAAATCAAGGCTGAGAAGATGAAGGAAGGGGTGCAGCGGCTCGTCTGGTTGATGGCGTGGAGAAAGACCAACAGGAGTGTTGGCCCGTCCCTCTCGTCCTATCAAATTGCTTTGTCCTTGGTGGTGAAATTTGTTTCTCTGACGATGAAAGTGCTTCTTCAGTAAAAATACAATGGACAGGAAAAAAATGTAAATGCACTGCACCAGATGCTGCAGAAGAAACACACCTTTTCATCATTACATTTTTTCATTTCAATCAATTAAAACGTTATAATCGACATCAGTCAGGGACAGCTGTTGAAAGGCCTGCAATCTAGATTACTACTTCAAATCAAATGTTTTACATTTGAAAAGGTTGGGGAAATAATTATTAATGTTAGTTAACATGTCAATAGATTCATAAATGTTTAAGCAACAAATTGATGTTCTGACAGAAGAAAAACTTTCCTGGAATGTTTCTCATGAATAAAACATTCAAATGTTTTACATATTAACAAATTATTCCAAAAACTGTACTTGCTTTCAAACGGTACTTTATCCCTTTTCAGGGATTTCTGGCTGATTGGACATTCATTCATAATTGTACCTACTTACTTAAATCAAAATGTCACAGCCACAGAGGTTAAATGTTTATATGCCACACTGTAAACACAACATTTAAAATATGCCACTGGGCTATATATTGTGTACTTGGCTGGCAGAAAATAAGTCTTAATCCAATTAGAATACAGGCCGTGACACCAGTAAATGGCAACAGGGTGAAGTAATGTTTGTGCACTGTGTCCTTGGCCAAAAGGCTGGCGGCATGTGGTTTCTTAGTCCTGAGACATTCACTGTTTGAGTACGTGAATGCAGATGGTAATGCCTGTCCCGGGCCTGCTGCACACAGACTGCCCGCATATCTATATCTGTATGGAGGTAATAAACCTGAGTCGTCAAGGGTGCGCTATACAGGACAAATCAGGCTGAAGGAGAACAGAAATAAGAGAAGACAGCTTCCTCCTGCGTCGCTGCTATCGCGTCTCTGTAACAGTGTTTTGACACAGCAGGTCGCAACGCGCTGCGCTGACTTCAATGTTGACACATTTTAATACACAACATTTTGTGGAATTGACATTCCTCAAGCATCCGGATTCATCGGCTTGTATCAAGTATGTTTTTTGACAAAAAATATATAGTCTGTCCTAGGTGAAGTCAAGCGCAGAAGACATTTCTAAACAGAGAAACTTGAGTCCGTCAAATAAGACCCTAGCTGTTTCTCAATCCACTGTTGCACAGAGATTTAAACTCTACGCAGAAAAAAAGCAATTAAAATGTTGTAACGTAAAGTAAAGAACCTTGGTAAAGAAGAAAACTTGTGTAATCCTTTTTATGAGACTTTTTTCAGCCTTGACAGTTTGACAAACATGTGTTGACTGTTTGCTGTGAGTGGAGAAGGAACAATAAGAATACAAGAGAAATCTTCAAGGAAAAATATATTTGTTCTTTATTTACTCTGGCCATCTGACGCTGCAGATAAATGCCCTTCACTGTTTGCACTGGGTTTATCAATTATTGTTTGCAAAGCTGCCATCCTTTGTGAAGCCTGAATAATGTAACTCCGCTCCCCCCTCATCTTTTTTACTCTGTCGGGGACAGCTTGTTTACCTTCCAGACAGCTAGGCAGACTTTTTTGGAGGTGATGTTGGCACGGCAGGGATGTCACTCTTTAACCAGATTCCTCAGGCTTTCTCTATACTTTCCTGCTATTGTTTTTGGACCCAAGAAAAAGTTTAATTAAAAGCTGCTGTATTCGAACCATTTATAAAAAGAATAGACAAAAATTGATTTGAGGAGGTATTCCGATCACCTGGAGTCTTTTATTATAATCCTGCTCAGTTTTCCATGAAGTTAATTGTATTGCTTTCAAGCCCATTGCAGTAATTATCTCCACTGAGGATGTGATGTTTGATTTAGCTTTGTTTTGTCAGCAGGACCAAGGTAAAACCGCTGGCCCAATTTGAATGTTACTTGGTAGAAGGACGTAGACTGCTGAAAGGAAGAGCCCATTACCTATGGATCAGTTCCAAATCATGGCGCGAATACACATATGATTTTTCACTTATGGAAATGGCCTTGTCGGAGGTCTGAGCTTCCGGAGTGCCTTCTAGTTTAAACATGTTTTATTGCTTGGTAGACTTTATCTAATTTGTATTCCAGTTACCCACACCACTTTGCATCTCCTTGTGTTAATTTATGTCCTTTTCAGATAACTTTACAATGGGCAATGGCCATTCAGTCCACAAAAGCTACCTTTCAGCACTAATATGTATTTGAGAATTTTCAAAACTAGAGAAATCTGTAATTTATTTTCTCACCGGGCTGTTTTTGTAGGGCAGATAATTCGTATTGAATTTTAAAATATTAAAGAAAGATTGAAGCATACATTAGCCTTTAGCTTGTAGCAGCTCAACCCTGTGACCACAGGGGAAACACTTATTTTTAAAGTAAAACTGCTTTATTCAGTATGTTCACCAGCTTTACTCACCAGGTCAGTGTGCTTGTGAGGAGAGGAGACCTCTCGGGATGATTTGGCTCGAGGTAAAAAATATTCTAAATGCTGAACTCTGACCTCATTTTCAAATCGGAAAAAGCCAACTACAATAGAAACTCCCATGATCTGCTACGACATTTTTGTTGTTTTGATTGAGAGCCTCTTAGTGATAGAAAAGTATACATTTATATCAATTTTCTCCCCTGTCCTACCCTAGTGCTTAATATGGCCAATAATGAATTGTTTTCAGAATGTGCAACAGCTGTTGCCTTACTTTACATTGCATTTAGCTGACGCTTTTATCCAAAGTGACTTACAATAAGTGCATTTGACCAAGAAGATACAAACTTGAAGAAAACAGAATTATATAAGTACATTAGGTTTCATAGAGCTAAAACATTTTAAGTGCTACTCAACTGGCTTTTAGATAAGCCAGTCCTTTANGATGTCCAGGTGTATATCAGTATGTAGTGTCTCTACTTTAAAGAGTCCTCTCCTGCTGATGTTCAGGTGTATATCAGTATGTAGTGTCTCTACTTTAAAGAGTCCTCTCCTGCTGCTGTTCAGGTGTATATCAGTATGTAGTGTCTCTACTTTAAAGAGTCCTCTCCTGCTGATGTTCAGGTGTGTATCAGTATGTAGTGTCTCTACTTTTAAGATTCCTCTCCTGGCCGGCTCTGTTGTGATTGGTCAACCAGCTTAGAGATATCCCGCCCCCTTAGTCTATCACGTACAATGTGTTGGAGCGCTAGCCAATAGGAGCACAAGTGTTCTATAGTGATGTCACTATGTTCCGGAAGTAAACAACAAATCCATTAAATACTAATATGAACCCTTTTCCTTTAATATTGCTGTGTTTGTTCTTCAGGTTTCTATGTGACTCTGGTTGTGAATCGATGGTGGAATCAGTTTGTTAATCTTCCGTGGCCGGACCGCCTCATGTTCCTCATCTCCAGGTACAAACTCTGCAAGAAAAATACACACTTTTAGTTATTTACAATATATATTTCTGTATTGATTTTGGTGGATTGGTCTTTCTTCATCAGGATGTTTTTGCTCCAAATGTGTTTTTACCCGGCTTGATTTTTCTCGTGTGGAATGATCATATAATAATTTAAATCAGAATCAGAAACAGGTTTATCACCAGGTAGGTTGACACATAGGAATTTGACTTGATGTCATGGTGCAAACATAAAAGTAAAACAAAATAATAATAATAATAATAATAATAATAATAATAATTATCGACCATTTCTCAAATATGTCCGAATCCTTTTTTCAGGATTTTTTTCCCCAACATTTTCACATATTTTTTATTTTTTAAGGAAATGTTTTCTTCTTTTTTGAATCATTTTCCACAATTATTAAGTATTTATTTTTCCAAATGTATTTATTTATTTCCTCCGCCTTGTCCCCTGCAGCTGTGTTCAGGGTAAAGATGAATACGGCCGCCTGCTGCGTCGGACGTTGATTCGTTACGTGAACCTGACCTCGCTGCTGATCTTCCGCTCCGTCAGCACCGCCGTCTGCAAGCGCTTCCCCACCATGGAGCACGTGGTGGAGGCAGGTGAGAGTTGTATTATTATCTATAAAGAGGACGGAGTAACTCCAGTTAAAGCCCTCAGACTGCCACTTCCCATTCTTCTATTAGAGTTAACCAAATCTTATCAAACGACCTGACATTTTTGGAAAAATATATGAAAAATGTTGTTGAAAAAAAACAGAGAGAGAAAAAAAAAAGTCAGGATAACGGGTTAGTATCTCGTGCGCACGAGATTTTTTTTGGGAGAAAGTTACCGGTGCGCCAAGGAGGAAGTGAAGCGCACAGGACACAACCATTTCATTGCAGACTGTTATGTTTACGTGGGGAAATGACAGTGCATTATTTGAGATATATTTCGTACTCAGACTTCACTTTAAGGACATTAGTCCGCCACTGGCTCTGTGTGTGTGTTCTGAGTGTTTGTTTCCCTATAAAACAGCTGCGGGGGAAGCAGGTACTCTGCGAGTCACGGACATTAATTCATAGATCAAAGCAGACTGGTTTACAGACTCTCCTGTTTTGCCAATCCGGTT